GATAAATATTCTCCCGGTTTGCTAATTTTTACATAACCTTCATCGAAATAAAATTCCTTAATCTTTTTGATAGCCTCGAAATAAACTTTGTCGTTGATTTTGAAATGGTACTTTACACGAATTGGAAACAAAAAAAGAAAATCTCTGTCTGCAAACGTGAGATATTGTGGTTTGCGTAGGAAACGTTCTGTAAATTCAATGCCTTCCCTTGAATTGTAACCAACCATAATTGGTACATTTATATTAAAGTTGGTATCCTCAGGAAGAGATGTGACAATAGCATCAGGATGGTACGGTTCTACGCTTGGTCCAAAGTTGACAATACCTCTTTGTATTGCTCGTGAATCATCAGCGTGAACAGCTAAATGTTCCGATTCTGTTATAAGTTGTGCTGACCAATCTGCGAAACGTTTTATGAGATAGGAGCTTGTAGTAAATGTTTCTTCTAATGCTTCACCTAGAGCTTTTGCCTTTTTACGTGGATTCTCGTCAATATACGATGGGTTCCATGAAGTTCCACTTTGCAATATTACTCCATGAAATAAGCCCTCTGATTTCTTTGTTTGGAGAAGTAAATCGACTAAAACACCACCACCTTGGCTGCCCATTAACGTTACTCTTGACGGATCTCCACCAAAGAATTTAATATTTTCTTGTATCCATTTAAGAGCTTGTATAACATCTCGTAGACCATTATTACCTGGAAGTACTTCATCTTCAAATGACAGAAACCCTAGAGCACCTAATCTGTGGTGAACGGTTACTAAAATTACTCCCTCTTTCATAAAGAAATCAGGACCGTAGTCTGTCGAACCATTAAATGACATTCGAAACTGTTCATTATATAAAAATACAATCGAAGGAAATCCCAAGTTTGTTTCTGAAAATTTTGGCGTATGCACACTAAGATGTAAACAATCCTCATCACCGGTAAAACCAATTCTTTTAGTATATCGTACCGGTAAAAAATATTGTGCACAAGGCTTTCTTTCCTTTTTGGCTTCTAAAATATCGTTCCAACCTTCATGCGGCTGTGGCGGCTGTAAAATAAAAACTATATATTACAATATTAAACATAAAAATTATGAGAATATGCGCAGTAGAACCAGAGCAATCGCTATAACCTATCGGATGAGTAAGTGATTACCCATAGGTAAGAAAGATTCTCGAGTGGCAGCCTCGTACCGATACGTGAAGTGAAGAGCTTCCCAAAAAAAATGGTACGACCTGGTAAGAGATACATGAAGTACATTATTGTATTTCTTGGGGGCAGGCCTTTGTTTAGCAGTGAATTTGTGTTGGCTATTACAGGCCAACACAAATTCACTGCTAAATGCTGATAATGAAGATGATGATGTACAAGTAATTGATTAAAACTACTTTCACCCGGAACGTTGATGCATCACATCAGCTATATGTTATATGTGAAGCATCAACATTCCGGGAAGTCTGCAGTTTGTAATCATATCCTAGGCGGCCCCAACCATTACATCATATTTGTTAGTCCACAAATCCTCACGAAAGAACATCGATTCCTACCAAGGATGAAAACATGAGGCTATTGAAATTTAAAATCATCCTAATTTCAATAGAAATGGAGGCTGGGTACTACCACCTGCTTGGGACTCTTTGATTAATAAAATTAAAACTAAACCCAAGCATACCACTGCAAGAATTCAAGATACAGTAAGTTCATTCTGCGTAGATTGGACCATAAATAATAATTAGAAAGCTGAAGGTACTCCGGGTTAAAACTGACATCGGGACATCACTCACCTCAGTCCCCCGTGACCATGGGTACTGGAAAGCACCCAGAACGTCGCGAATTAAAAATCATATAAATTAAATGCGATAAAATTCTTAAAAAAGTTTTAACTAATGTGTAGTGTTCGCGTAAATATAAGAAATCATGATGCATTAAATTACATATGTTAACAGTATATAACAGTACTTTTGTATTTATAGTAGTAGATCTTTAAGTTATTTGTTTGATTACTGAATGAAAACCTTACCTGTAATCTTAATGCTCCAACAGGTGGTTTAGCGTAAGGTATACCCAAAAACGAGAAATACTTCTCATTTGGTATAATTGAATCCACCTCATTGCCAGCCACTTTTCCAAGTTTGGTTTCCACTATAATATTAGCATTGATGATAGTAAGGCAACAAATTATTAGAAAACAAATTAACAAATTCATATTGGTTGTAGCTTCGACTATCTATTAAATAAAAGTATTAAATTCATTTGTTTACGTTCATAATTATGTTGTAGCTAAACGACTGACGTGTCCTTATGATAAATACTAATAATCAAAGTGGGTTTCGCTTACATTTTTATCAGTTAGAATGAGATAATTTATAACTCTTCCTATTTTATACACATATCGTGATAAGCACTTAAGAATAGGGGATTACTAATAAATACAATAATTCATTTATTTTATCAACTATATATTATTATATAAATATTTATTTAATTGTTTTATTATAAGTCATCTTTGTAACTTATATCAGGAGTTGACACTGCATTCAATAATTTTTGCCATTTATTTGAGAATTTTTCCCAAAATTGGAATCTCTCTTCAAAAAGATTACGTTTAATTTCCATATTTTTGCTAATATGCAGGTATTCTTTAGTAATTATATTGTAGCTTGACCATATTATATCCAATGGATTATTTTTTTCAGGGGTTGGATTCCTGTCAAACAAAACATTTCATTTTAGCTGGATTTATCAACAGTAATATTTCCAAGGACATTATAGAATTTTGTGAAATAAGATACGAATACGTTAATTGGTTATCTATTTAGTCTTTTCTTTATCATTCTTAAGGAAAATTGCTGGAGTCATCACAAACAGTAAATCAGTTTAGTGTTCGCTGCGGCAAAAGTATAGATATTTTTGCCGCTGCGCCACATGCTGGGCTGAGTATTACATTCTGCAGGGGACGATTACCTGGCTGAGTATCCGAATACTTTACTGCCGAATTATTATTAAAACGGTAACAACCGGTAAAATAAATTTTTTGCCGATACGTATATTTTTATTGTAACTGTTACAAGCCCCTATATTATCCCGTGAGTATCGTAAGAGGTGTCACAAATAAATCAATAGCAGCATTTTCTTGATAACAACTCAAAATAATAAAAACTTTGCGATAGCCAAATCGCCTACCAAGCCTTGCATTGGTAACTTCAGAAAATTTCTCCTTTAGGGGGCAATCTATACCGGTGGCTTTTGGTCAGTAGCGGACTTTTAATATGCTGTAAGATGATGCTGCTGCAATATTTTTGAAAAAAAACTAATAGAATTTAATAAAAACTAATTCCAGAAACTTAGTTCTTCGGGTGGCGCTGTCGGTCGAAAGATTTGTGATGTCATTTACTGCAAAGCTCCCCTCGCTCTCGTTCCTGACACTAGATGGCGCTAGTTGACTTATTCATGCAACATTATTTACTCAAATTAGTAATTTTATAATCTAGTTATGTGTCTGTGATGTGATTCAAATAGTTTCTCTGACATTGCATTTTTTTATAGAATGGGGTGACAAACGAGTACACAGTCCACCTGATGGTAAGTGGTTGCTGCGGCCCATAGACATCTACATCTATCCTCGATTACAAATCAAAATGCAGATGCGTTGTCACCCGTGAGGACTAAGATGGAATGCCTCGTTTCCAGTAAAAAGGGTCTCCGGTTCTCTACACTCACCATACGAAACACAGCAAAATTAAGCTACTATTTCACGCTGGTATTGTGAGAGCGTGGTCGTTCCCCGGCCGAGCCGATCCATTCGTGCTACAACTATACTATTAATATAACTGCATCATGGCTCTACCATGTATTATATATATATATATATACATAATAGCATAAGTTTAATAACACCAATGGGTACTTTACGAGGAGTCAGTGTCACCATTGGTCACTATGTTATTGTTGACACAGCTCTGAAATTATTCTGAATGTTGTTGCCGTCGTTGGAATTAATCAGGAAAATATCATCATCTCTATTTTATGTTGATAACAATTACATGGTATTTACAGTATTGATATTTCGGTGCTTTAATTATCAGCAAACACGATAGAGTTGACAAATTTTTGTTACCACTAAACGGTGAAATATATAAAGAATGACACATAATGAATAACTTCCCAGTAAAATATGGATTGTCTGAAACATTGATTTATAAAGATACAAAAGCACATTTTATGTAATTTTATTAAATAGATATGTGTACATGGTAGAGTCATGCTGCAGTTATATTAGTAGTATAGTTGTAGCATGAATGGATTGGCTCGAGCGGGAAAGGACCACGCTCTCACAGAATACCAGCATAAAATAGTAGCTTAACGTTGCTGTGATTCGTATGGTGAGTGCGAAGCATTACATTATAGTACTTACGTGTGACAACGCATCTGTATTTTGATTTGTAATCGAGGACACATGTAGATGTCTATGGGCCGCAGCAACCACTTACCATCAGGTGGACTGCGTGCTCGTTTGTCACCCTATAACTGTCACTATATAAAAAAGATTATAAAGAGATTATTTTCTTATGTTTATGCAAATAAAAGAAATTTAATTAAATAAGAACATATTCCTTTCAGATGGCAACAACACCTGCAGGTGGTTTACGTGGTGTATCTTGCAAATTAAAAACGAGGAGTTTGCGTTTTAAAAACATTTTTTTATAAACTGGTGATGATGTGTAATATTATCATTATGAAGCATAGACGGACTGCCACGCCGGTGGTCTATGTTGCTCTATGCTGAAAAGGTATTGAGTGTGCATTTTACAACTCACATATTCAACGTGGTAAGTATAAAGAAATCTTTTAATTAATGCATTAATGCAGGGCCTTAAGAAGGTCTCATGAGAAGCACATACTCATACGCGTTTGCCTGTTAGTATAGGCTAAAATAACATAGAAGTAATCTGTATTGCAAAAAGCGGGTAAGTCATTTAAAAAAAGTTGTAAGAATACTAACCCATATTTAGCAAAGTTTGTCCATAGCTTCATCCAATTTCTTTTGTAATGTTATTTCTTCAGACATGGACTTATTTAATTTTTTATAGTTATTTATTAGTCCTGGACATATAAATAAATAACATAATTCATCTCCACTTGCGGCTCCCCAAGTGCCATCTCCCATAGTAGAAAACTTCAAAATGTTTTCTTTATTAGCATTGAATTCACTGTAGTAATCAAAATGATAATAGAATACTGAGCTTGAAGATTTGTTTGAGTACATTCTCGCCATAACATCAACAGGATATGATGTAAGAACGTCTCCTATGTACGTAATATAATCAGAAATACTGTTAGTTCCTATTTTACCTCGCTTGAAATAAAACTTTTTAATATCTTCTATAGCGTCATAAAAATTTTCTCCCAATGGATCAAATTTTAAATTAGATCGTATTGGTATTAAAAAATGAAAATCTTTTTCAAGATACATAAGATATCTCGGATCAAAAAGATATTGAAGTGATGGCTCTAAACCCTCTCGAGAGTTTGACCCAATCATAATAGGAATTGTTACGGTATCAAATATCTTTTCTGGATAGTCTGTCACTAGACCATTTTGGTTACTTTCAACAATTGGACCAAAAGTTAAAAGAGGTTTTTGATTTTCTTTGTAATAATCTTCCGGAAGAGCATTCAACTCTTTTTCAAATATCTTTTCTGCTGGAATATCGTTTAAAAATTTTAGTAGTCGATTACTATTAGAAGTACCTCTTTCTAATAGCTCACCCAATTTAAAGGCCCTTTTTCTTATATTATCCTGCAAATATTGAGGAGTCAGAGAAGTTCCACTTTGTAATATGGCTCCATTAAATAGATTTTTTGCTTTTGTATGAATAAGTAAATCTATCGCTGCAGCACCACCTTGAGATCCCATTAACGTTATTTTATGAGGGTCACCTCCAAAATGTTCAATATTATTTTTGATCCAGTGTAACCCTGCTACAATATCTTTTAATCCTGCGTTTCCGGGCAGAATATCGTCTTCAAATGACAAAAAACCAAAAGTAGATAATCGATGGCTTATCGTAACTAATACCACATCTTCTTCTATAAAAAAATCTGGACTATAATCTTTTGTTTTGTTATACGAGTACCTGAAGTTTTCATTATATAAAAAAACTACAATAGCTCTTTTATTATCATCTACTGCTGGGGTAAAGATATCGAGGTAGAGGCAATCTTCAACTCCATATTGACCTATCGATTGATGTTTTTTAACATTGTTGTTGAACTGGATGCATGGAGGTTTCTCTTTAATTGCAGATAATACATTAACCCAGGGGTTAATCGTTTGAGGTGGCTGCAAATAGTTGAATATTAAACATTTAAGGGTCTCTTGAAAGCAAATAAATATCGTAAATGTAGTTATAGCTATGTGTGTATATAGCTATGTGTTGCCGTGTAGTGGCAGTTGAGAATATCCACTACCCCATATTTTCCCGTGGGTTTCGTAAGAGGCCACAGAGGGACATAGGCAGGAAATGAGCATTAGCATCTTTCTGATAACAGCAACTATACAATAAAAAAACTGTAGGTGCCAACCTGCTCGCTGAGCGCGGCAACTATGGCCAACATCCCTCCATTAGGCAATCATATATCAAATCAATAGGCAAATAATAGTAACGGGTGCTAAGAATATCGGAGATAGAGATTTTGTTGTCACCTAAGACCATTCAACCTTGCACTATATAACGAATGCACCCTGAGGAATGACGAGAAGACTCTGGAGTTGGAGGAAATGGAAGATAAGTTGTCTTGTGATCCAAGAGCAAGTATATCCGACATTATTTCGATGATATCCCGGACGAGCGAGATTAGAATCGCTTGCCAGCATCTTAAAAACGGCAAGTCCCCGAGCAAGGATGGAATTATATCGGGGCTTATGATAGTGGGTGGTAAACCGGTACTTGAAGTCCTTCAGAGCCTCTTTAATTCCGTCTGCTATAGCTGCACTACTCCGGAGGCTGTCTTGAAGAACTACAGATCGATTTACTTTCTGAAACGCGTCTACGTGCTGTTTTCGAGAGTCATTACGAACCATCTCGCATGCAGACTAGACAAATTCCAGCCTCCCGAACAAGCCGAATCTGAAAAAGTTTTAGTACCATAGACCACACACGATATGTGTGTGTGTGGTTTTAGGAAAATTGTACAGAAGACCGAAGAGTACAATCTGCCACTTTGCCAGGCATATGTGAAACCCTTCGATTTCGTTGAAATTAGGCCGGTGCTACGGGCCGGCGGTTGGCGGTGCCAAATTAACTGTCGATATATCGAAGTGCTGAAGTGTTTGTACGGTAGAGCTGGCATGGCTATTCGATTACAGAACCAGAGTACGAAACCTATTCAACTGCAGGGAGGTGTGAGACAGAGTGACGTTATATCCCCGAAACTCTTCACCGTTTCATTAGAATATGTTTTCAAGCCACTGGAGCGGAAAGGATATGGTATTAACATCAATGGCGAGTACATCACTTACCTTCCATTTACCGACGATATAGTCCTTATGCCAGAATCGCTGGAGGACCTAAGCACTATGCTTAATGACTTCAATAGTGCCTCCCAACGGATAGGCGTTAAGATGAACATGGACAAAATAAAGATCACGTGTAACGTCCATGTCACATTCATGCCGGTAGCACTAAGCTCAAAGTTGTAGATGAGTATGTTTACTTGGGACAAATAGTTTGACGGGTAGGGATAAGTAGGTCCAACTTCAACGGACAACTCGGCTAGGTAGCGTTCGGGAAATTACGACACATCTTCTCGTCAGCTATACCTCAAAACCTGAAAACGAGACTGTTCTACCAGTGCGTGTTGCCAGTGATGACTTATGGAGCTGAAACGTGGTCGCTCAGTGAGCTATGAAGAGAGCTATGGTCGGGGTCTCTCTGGATGATAAACTTAGAAATGAGGATATCCACAGTGGAACCAGAGTGATCGACATAGCCCAACGGATTAGTAAGCTGAAGTGGCAAATGGTCGGTCATGTAGCTCGAAGAGCCGACAACCGATGGGGAAAAAGGGTTCTCGAGTGGCAGCCTCGTATCGGTATGCGAGGTGAAGGGCGTCCCCCCACTAGATGGAGTGACGACCTGGTAAGACGTGCAGGAAGTCGATGGATGCAGGTGGCTTAGAACTGTGCTTTGTGGCATTCCTTGGGAGAGGCCTATGTTCAGCAGTGGACTTGTGAAGGGCTGTAATGATTATAGTGATTGTGTGTATGTGAAACGAGCACATGTAGATCAACATACACATACGGATATTATAACACAACATGTAAGTGTCTAATACTAACATATTTAATTGTACCAGAAGTATGCATAGGAAAGTCCAATGTTGATATTATAATTTATATCGTAAATTTTTGTTATATCTAGCGAATATAATTAATTTAAATTTATACTATATTTACCAAAAATCTCAACTCATTTAAGGGCGGTGCTGCGTATGGAATGCCCATAAATCCATGGTATTCGGTGTTTTTTAATAATGTTTTCAGTAATTTCCCGGAGACTAATCCGTGTGTTGTAAGTACATTATTTTCTTTTGCGTGCGCGATCACTAAGAGAGATAAATTCACCGAAAAAATCCAACAGATCCAAAAAAATATTTTGAAGCACATCGTACACCACACCAATGTTTGTTTTAAATACTGTCATTAAAGTGGTTTTAACCTACGATAATATCTCTTCTAGATAAACTTATATCGCATTAATCTTTAGGTTGTAATAAAATTTTAACATATTATTGTATTAGCGTATTAAATAATATTTTTTATAGAATAAGAGTGACAAACGTTCGTTTGTCATACACGGTCTATCTAAGTAAGCACTGTGGCCCATAGACATATACATTTATCCACGATCAAAAATCAAAATGTCCTTTGAAAACTAAGGTAAAATGCCTCTTTTCAGCAATAAGGGTCTCCGGTCAGAGAACTGGAAGTTTATTTTGTATGATAAGTATAGATATACACTCACCATACGAAATTCTGTGAGAGCGTGGTCCTACACCGATCGAGTCGACCCATTTGTGCTACAATTATTATATAGCTGCAGCGTGTCTCTACCACATACATAATATAAACCTCAAAATATTAAAAGATAATTCAAACTAACGCTAAAATATAATGATGGAAGCGTTACACTTTTAATAGAGTGGTTTTAAAGGAAACAAATATTTTTAGTGCCAGCGGTAACTCTAATTCAGTTTTTTTGGCGATACATTTTGGTAAATTTTGGCAAATATTGTTAAAATTCCTTACTTATGAGTCGGGAGAATCATCTCATTTTGAAAAATAAAATTAAAAATACAATAAAACAATTATGTTTAAGTAATTAAACAAGTCGTATTTTATGTTAATGGTGTAGTTCAAAATAAATAATTTGCGAAAGTTGATATTATTGATAAAGCTTTGATTGACAAACCTTAGAGCTTTCAAGATTTTTAACAAGCTTCTGGTCTTCCTTATATGGAAGAATGGTTTATATTGATTAGTTTTACAACGTATTAAGCGGTGAAGGAATAAACAGTAAGGAAACATGTATATCGAAGAAAATATAAGAAAATGGATAAGACTTGGGAGGACCACTTTACAAACGTTTCAGTAGGAAGTGATAAAAATAGGAAAAGGAAATCTGAAATACAAAATAGAAATACCAATAAGTTTTACATTTTGGAGTTGGAAAATCATCAAATCAAATCAAATTATCATGTATTTGTCGGAAATGAAATCTGCCAGCACGCATAGGAATAGCGGGGTGTATTCTTTCTGCCCTAAAAGACCTCCTAGAAATTAAGGTAAGTCTGTGCACAGCAGTAGGAAGTATGTTTATAGGCTGGTACTTTACTTTTTTAATTGTCGTTATAAATTGTAATGAGACTAATTCAGTAGCCGAGAATAATAATTAATTCACTTAATTAATGAATTTTTATTATATTTTTTTGTGATCTGTGTATTTGATAGTTGTATAAAATAATAAATTGTAAATTAATTATATCTAAAAGAAATGTCCCGCTGGGTTTCTTGTTGATTCTTCCCAGGACAGAGGTTTTCTTGGAACCAGTGGTCATAGTAATATATAGAATAAAAATGATTCTATTCTATTCTAAAAACCTTTTACGTTATAACCCTACGTTACGGTAACTACTTTCCTACATTAGAAGTGAGACTAAAGCTTTCCATAGTAATAACCTTACAATTACAATACCTTTCTATATCAGAAGTGGGATAAAGTCCTCGTTATTTCCCACATTTAATTTTTATGGGTTAAATTCTCTTGTTATCGCTCACATAGGATAAAGTCCTCGTTATTGCCCACTATTTAATTTTTAAATAGTGGGAGAGTTATTTTGTTTGTGAAAACCCATAGAGCGCGTTTTTATGTTAAATGTTTCATGAAATTAGTTGTCCAATGTAAGGTTTTATTGAGAAAATTTTTCTTCAAAATTCAAAAGTTAGATCCTTATGTTCGATTGATGTTAAAAGTACCCGCAAGTACTTTCATTATTTCTTAAAGTACATAAATATGTTAGCAAATGTCTAAGAAAATCTTGGAGGCTTCCTAGATGAGTTATGGTCTGCATTATGTGAAAACTGATCTCGTTCGAGTTTTGTTATAATTTGTTAGTGCCAGAACAGTTCATACGAAATATGATTTCTATGGGCTACGATTTAAAGTTCGAAATGTTTAAGCACTGCACCAAAATAATAGATTGGCTTTAACGTGCTATGAATTGAAGATAATGGGCGGCCTTTTACTGTTCTAATGTCTTGATAATAGTCGACAAGATTGGGGTTTGATAATGAGGGATTGGTAGAAGTTGCTACAACAATTACCGATTGAAAGGACGTTGTGTGCTCGGATCAGTCCACTGTCTACGATTTAAATGAAGTCAGGGATGATCGAGCATTGTAATATTTAACAAGTGTCAATATCTGTTTGCAGATGGTGTAGAACGTATGCTGACGGTTTACTGCCAACTGCACGAAGACATGCGATAGTCGGAGGTGTCCGTGTCGGCGCGTCTGTATGGTACAGAGAGGTTACATCATTCTGAAGGAGTGGTCATGTTCATGGTGTTATCATAGGATTAAGGGTATATCGGCAACCCACTCGTTTGTGCAGTGTGGAGTTCGCTGTGGGCGCTGTGTGCAAGGGATTCCGACAAGGTCATTCAACGAGTGCTGGGACTTTTAGAATGAAAGTATTGTGGTTCTGCCAATGTGGTAAATCTTCTAGTGCAGGAAAGTATTTATGGTGTTGATGTTGGTTTTCATACCTTGGTACTATTGTGTTATTGCGTCCCTCACATTGCACTACTTTGTGATTGTGACGGGGAAGATTTGTGATTGTTGCGGTGTGTTCAGGTTGTATTGCTCTAAACCTAATCGAAAAAAAAATGAAAAGTGTTTCTTACTATCATTGCAAGGCTTATGCCGGTCAAATGATATAGCTACAGGGAATAGCGATACTGGACTAGCATAAACAATACCTGAGAAAAAAGAAATTTGAACGGCATGTTTTTGAATCAAAACTGATAAGTGTTGCAGGGTCCAAAGAAACCGGTCCAATACTAATTATCCAATACTAAGGATAATTAGACGATGTTTTTCTGTCTACAGATAACTCAGATTGTGTCTTAACTCAGATTGACTCTTGACGATGGCGCCAGCGCCGTTGCACGTGCAGTAGCGCCTGTGTAGTTTGCCAGAATTCTTATAAACAACATGTGCACCGCACACCTGTACCTACACCTGTACACCTGCAGTGGCTACTTGCTTTGCTTGTATAAAACGGATGGAGCGGCCTCCGTTAGGGTAGTCTTGGCCATAGTTAATATACTATATAGTTCATAGATGAGCCACTCTAACAAATTATTTGATGACACAACGAGGGAAGTTTCTTCTTAGCTCTAATAGATGGCGTTGGGGTTATAAATTACCAAAAATACACTAGGGGCCGCTATCAACTTGGTTCGGTATTATTTCGTATATTTAATTTAATAAATAATAGGAATTAGGAAATGTACATAGTCAGAAATTAATTATTAATTAATTCATTATATACAAAACTTTATATATGGTTCTCATTAAGTTACTATGACATACAGACATACATACATACAGAGCCGTGGTAGCTCAGATGGTTAGCGCTCGCTGTAAATTTCACAATACACGAGCAAACCGGGTTCGATCCCCGCCGGCACCAATGAAATTGTTAATTGCAATTTTAAGTGCTGATTTACCACGTGCTCGGCGGTGAAGGAAAACATCGTGAGGAAACCTGCATGTCTGAGAAATAAGAAAAAAAATACTTCGAAGACATGTGAAGTTCGCCAACACGCATTGGGGCAGTGTGGCGGACTATTCCTTGCCCTAAAAACCCTCTCAGAAATGAGAGGAGGCCTGTGCCCAGCAGTGGGACGTATATAGGCTGTAACTTTACTTTACTTTTTACTATGACATGAGTTACTGTGAGAATTAAAGGAAATTTATATTGTATATATACCGCAACATTTCAAAACTTTGAAAGCGTGATTTTGGGCTTCGGTATAAATAATAAATTTTAGCAGTCACTTATAAGTCATTGCCATCTTTTGAGAAAAATATGTAATAATAGTAGAGAAAATAGTGTTTTTTACGACTGTGAGATGGTGCTAGTCAGCAAGCTACTGAGGACTTTCATACCCCTGGTCTTGGCTTTAGCATGGCACGGTGTAGTTGTTGTATCCCGCCATTAGCTCATCCTCGACTCATCGGATAATTAATTCGTGGAAACAAATTAATCATTATTCTCGGCTACTAAATTAGTCTCAGTATAATTTATAGCTGATTAGCTGTGATCTGTGTTTTTCATAGTTGTGTAAAATAATAAATTGCAAATTAATTCTATTTGATAGAAATGTCCCGCTGGGTTTATTGCTGGTTCTTTCCAAGACAGAGGTTTTCTTGGAACCAGTGGTCATAGTACTATATTGAATAAAAATGATTGCATTCTTTTCCAAAAGCCTTTTACGTAATTTTAATTTAAATTACGTAACCATACATTACAAATTATTAGTAACTACCTTCCTACATCAGAAGTGAGATTGAAGCTTTATTGAAGTAATAAACTTACAATTACAATACCTTTCTAAATTAATTATTTAATTATAATAAATCCTATAATAATATAGCACTTATGAAACTAGATCGTACAACCAGTGCGTTTTGTTTGTGATGACCGTATGAGGGAGCTCAAAGTCGCTTAGCGAGAGGAGAGGGCTATGCTCGAGGTTTCTCTGCGTGATAAACTTTAAAACGAGGACATCCGCAGAAAAACCAGAGTAATCGTAATAGCCCAACGGATTAGTATGCTGAAGTGGGAATGGGCCTTTAATGTGGGAGAAAGGTTCTCGAATGGCAGTCTCGTACCGACAGGCGAAGTGTAGGGCGTCCCCTCACTGGATGGAGTGGTGACCTGGTAAGACATGCTGGAAGTCGATGGATACAGGTGGCTCAGAACTATGTTTAGTGGCATTCCTTGGATGAGGCCTATGTTCAGCAGTGGACTTGTGAAGCGCTGTAAGTATGATGATGATAAAAATATAATACATTAAAAATAGATTGTGTTTCACTGT